TATATATATATATATATATATATATATATATATATATATATATATATATATATATATATATATATGCTCCATATAGGTTTGGTCATGTTGGTCTAACTTGCAATATGGTGGAGTATCTCAAAAGTAGCTTAATACATGAAAATATGCATTTTTGCATATTTTGTGTCTTTGGGTCGACTCAAACATTATTCCGGTCGACTCATACAGAAAGTATTCTGCATGGTCTACTCTCAAGAGTGCTCGCGTTGATCCTTCTGTCGACTCATACGGGTTCATTTATGTCTGTCTAATTTTGTATGCTTTGCGTCAACGCATGACCTGTTCTGGTCGACGCAAAGTGATATTTTCTGCATAATCTGAAATTCGGATGAGCTCAGGTCGAGCGTTCGCGCGTTTTTGGTTAAATTTTTGTTATGTGAAACTGTCTAGGTGTTTCCTAAGTTGGTTAATTGTTTTTTACTTGTATATATAGTGAGTTAGCTTATTCTTGAAAAACAACAAGAAAAGTGAAAATAGACTGATTTTGTTCTCATCATCTTCGTCCTCTTTCTTGTATTTTCTCAACAACTACACATATTCATTTTTGTTGTGTATTCTGCATTATTGAGGTAATAACGTCAAAATATAGAATTAGTGCAATCGAGTTTGGGTTGAGAAATCGGTGGATTTTTCTTGAATAAAATCGTTAGGATTTTGTCCTTCAAAAATCTTGAATTTTGGAGTTTTTGCCCGAATCGGTCCATCACAGATTCAGCTGAGCGAAGATAATCGAAGAACGGGTGGTTCTGTCGATTTAATAGCAGTAACCGGAAGATTGTGAGAGAAAGATTTAGGTTTGAAACGTTGGTGATTGAAATCAGTCGGGTAAGGTTTGAAGACCATAGGATTGTTCAAAGAGTGTGTCGTAATCGGAGGTTTATTCGTCGTGGTCAAAGGACTTAATTCAGCTTGAATCAAGGGAAGAGAAGGAATAGGCTCTGCATCAACAATTGGGTTTGATCGTTTGAATTTTATTGCTTCTCTTGTAAACATTTGCAAACAGGTTATATATATATATATATATGTGTGTGTGTGTGTGTGTGTGTGTGTGTGTGTGTGTGTGTGTGTGTGTGTGTGTGTGTGTGTGTGTGTGTGTGTGTGTGTGTGTGTGTGTGTGTGTGTGTGTGTGTGTGTGTGTGTGTGTGTGTGTGTGTGTGTGTGTGTGTGTGTGTGTGTGTGTGTGTGTGTGTGTGTGTGTGTGTGTGTGTGTGTGTGTGTGTGTGTGTGTGTGTGTGTGTGTGTGTGTGTGTGTGTGTGTGTGTGTGTGTGTGTGTGTGTGTGTGTGTGTGTGTGTGTGTGTGTGTGTGTGTGTGTGTGTGTGTGTGTGTGTGTGTGTGTGTGTGTGTGTGTGTGTGTGTGTGTGTGTGTGTGTGTGTGTGTGTGTGTGTGTGTGTGTGTGTGTGTGTGTGTGTGTGTGTGTGTGTGTGTGTGTGTGTGTGTGTGTGTGTGTGTGTGTGTGTGTGTGTGTGTGTGTGTGTGTGTGTGTGTGTGTGTGTGTGTGTGTGTGTGTGTGTGTGTGTGTGTGTGTGTGTGTGTGTGTGTGTGTGTGTGTGTGTGTGTGTGTGTGTGTGTGTGTGTGTGTGTGTGTGTGTGTGTGTGTGTGTGTGTGTGTGTGTGTGTGTGTGTGTGTGTGTGTGTGTGTGTGTGTGTGTGTGTGTGTGTGTGTGTGTGTGTGTGTGTGTGTGTGTGTGTGTGTGTGTGTGTGTGTGTGTGTGTGTGTGTGTGTGTGTGTGTGTGTGTGTGTGTGTGTGTGTGTGTGTGTGTGTGTGTGTGTGTGTGTGTGTGTGTGTGTGTGTGTGTGTGTGTGTGTGTGTGTGTGTGTGTGTGTGTGTGTGTGTGTGTGTGTGTGTGTGTGTGTGTGTGTGTGTGTGTGTGTGTGTGTGTGTGTGTGTGTGTGTGTGTGTGTGTGTGTGTGTCTCAATTCTATTTTTAGAATTGAGGGCTGATGTACCCCGAGCGAAGACGACGGGGGAACTTCCTCAATAAATTGGTGTTCTCTCTTTATTTTTCAATTGCTTAATTTCTGAGTTTGTGTATAAACAATTTAATTGATCAAAATTCTAATGTGAGTAGTGTTGAACCATTTTTAGAAACCTATTACAATCCTTGATTGTAATTGAACACTTTAGTACTTCACTCACAATCCTTGCACACCAAGTGTTTGACTAATTGTGTGAACAACAAACACTTGTGTTGTCTTTTCAATTGAGTTATATTTTACACGAATTGGAAACAATCATAGTGAATAAATTATACTTGATGTGTGTTCAAATTAGTGATTCTTAATCTCGTTTTTATCGGATTCCATCGGCTTTGCGCATATCTGATCTTTTCGGTAAAGGTTCGTTTCTAGACGAATATAGTTCTTCGGCCGCTTCCGCCTAAAAACTTTTTAAAACCAAATATTAGTAAGAGCCGACTCTGTTTTTAACAAGTGATCTATTCAACTCCCCCTTTCTAAATTTGCGCCGTCATCTAACAATTATTTATGGGTAAAAAAATAGAAAATATGCAGATGGCTATTTAATAATATAAACAACAAATAATAATCACTAGATTAAATTATAAATTAAATAAACTAATAAATATTTTGTGGAAAAAAAATTAAATGCACTAAATGAAAATACAAAACATGTTATGCAATAAAATTTTCTTGCAAGGTTTTAAGTTGTATAAATTTTATAAATGAGATTTAAAAAATAAAATAGATCAAGTTCTAATACAAATTAGAATAATAAATAATAACAAAAAGTATAAATGCAGTAATACTAATTACAAAAAAGGGGTTAATACCAATGATAACTTGATTAGTATAATTGTTTCTCTTAATTTTTGAAATAAATAATAAATAATTCCTAACATTTTAAAAATATTTTGTAGTTTTGTAAAATATGCCATATTAGTCCCTCGAGTCTCATGAATGAGTGACATCAAGGACTAAAATGTAGATAAAATAAATCATTAAAAACTAATAAAATATTAAGAACTAATTAGTCTATAAACTTTAAAGACTAGATAAAAAAAAAGAGTGATACTATTAAATTTTTTATAAAAATGATACTTGTGAAACTGTTTTAAGGGATGACTTATTTTAAGAAATCGAATTCAAAATACAAATAATCCAATTATCATATGACGGTTATGTTAACATATTTCTCTGGAACACCCATCATGTTCAAGTGCTCCATACGAAATTTGTTATATGTTAACCCTAACATCATGTGGCATATATGGAAGATAAACCTCTAACTAGTTAGATATTTCGAATTTGTCAAAGTCAAATTTAATATAATATAGATAAACTTCTAACTAATTAGATACTTCAAATTTCTCAAAGTTAAATTTGATATTAAGTAATGAATGGTGCAAATATTCTACTTTCAGCTGATTTCTTAAACTTGTAGGCATTTGAAATAAACTCGGAGGAGGAAAAATCAAAGCAGAAGAAGTCGCTGCCATTAACTCCTTTGATAATAGAAAAGCCGCCGAGCACCACTATATTAGCAACCAAAGTTATAGCGATCAAAATGGGTTTTTAAAAAAATGGGGGGAAAATTTTATAAAAGAATAATGGAAAGTTTTTAAGAAAATGTGTTGTGATAACAAATTTTATATGAGGTGGTGATTCAAAGGAGGTCAAGGTAAATATGGTTTACGGGTGTTGAGGAGAAGTGCAAAGGGTGCGTGTAAACTGGTAGATTTGGAGGGGGGAAAGCTCCACGGCACCACTCCAATGTGTAAAACCTAGAAGGAGCACCACTCCAATGTGTAGAACCTAGAATTTGTGACAATGAAGTGAAACAAAATCTTCTTGCGTTAGAGATTAAGAGTGTGTTTGGTTGGAAATAGATGGAGAAAAAGTGAGGGAAGGAAAGGAAGGAAAGCAAAAAAATTTATTAAATATGTTTGATTTAAAAAGAGAAGAAATGAAAAGAGAGGGGAGTAAAATTTCTCAAAAACACACTTTTACTTCCCTCCAATTTGAAAGGAAAGGAATATGTCTGGAAGGAAAGAAATATGAGTTTAAATATTTAAAAAATTATTATGTTTATTAAAATATTCTCAATTTTATTTTAGTATTTCAAAAATATCTTTTTTTCCGTATTACTACTTTCTTCTATGTGATTTTTTTAATTATTTTCATCTTCTTATTATTGTATACTTTATAAATATCATAACCATTGCACTTTTTTTTTGTTTTTTAATTAAAAATATTATATTTAATTACAATCATTCTTTTTTTCGTTTATGCATTTTATTAAACATTTTAAATTATTAATATTTAATAATAATTTATTTTATATATTTATTTTGTTAGATGATTCAATATGATTTAAACGTTGTTATCAGCATATAATTTAATTTATATTAGAAAGTTATAATCTAAATCAAATATACTCAATTTTGTAACGTTATGTGAAAAATAAATATTTTTTTTATCACTCAATATTAAAAATTTTATTTTCATAAATAATATGTAAGAATTTTTCACATATGAATATCATATCACCAATATAAGATCATAAGAATAAAATAAAAATTATTAATAAAATTTCACCCCTCCCCTCCCCTTCTACACTAAAGACATTTTTAATTAAAATCCCTCCACTCTCTTTTGAACCAACCAAACACTTACCAAATTAAAAAAAATTCCTCAGCTTCCCTCCCCTTTCCTTCCCTCCATTAAAATCTCTCCCCTCCCATTCTCCTCATTTAAACCAAACATATAATAGTGACTAATATGTATAACTAATTGTATCAAACTATATAAAACACAGAAAAATTGCAGATTGCAGGCGCATAAGTTACAACGAATTACGTTACTGTTAAGTACGGGGTGACTAAATTCCCGTAATGAAATCTACAAAGTCATGGAATCCTAGTCATTCAACGAGTGCCATCAACCAATGGATGGATATTTAACTGACTGGATTATTCTATCATAGCCTACCTTGCATTTATCATTTACCAGTATACATGAAGCTTCCGATCTTGAAACTCAGTGAAAGAACCACAACTGAGAAACCCACCAAGAAAACCCAACCATGTGATAACATAAATGCAGTTTTGCTACAGACCAGGTCAGAAAGAGGAACCAAAGTAGCAGAGTTAACATCAGCTTGGGTAAACCCACTAGACATTATGGTGTTAAAATCTCCATTCTTGCCCACCATCCAATCCATCATCGCATTGCCTCTAAAGGAAATATCTGTAATGCTGATCATACCTGCAGTTATCTGAGCAGAATTGGAAGACTCGCCTGCAGGAGATATACCATGTGCAAACTCCTTGGTAGGAAACTCTGAAGCAAATGCAGGTGACGCAGGCATGTGGGCCAACAATTTATTGGCTTGCCTCACAAAATAATTTGCATCTCCTTCTAAAGTAGTAAAAACATAAGTAAGGGGTAGAGTAAAGTTTACATACTATATTAATCTAGAAAAGCACACATCAAAAAACAATAGCTTGAGAAACCAAGATGAGAAGTGAATGAAATGTCACCTGCGACCCAATTTGACACCTCTGGGAAAGAAGGTTCATTACTTGACTGTCCTTCAAGAACATGTCCGCTTGCCAAGGAACTACCATTGGCTTCGCTCTCCATATTCTGTTAATGACACCAAAATAAAAATTAAGACAACTATATTACAAATGAGTAAAACAAGTTACCTCACAAATATAGAGTACGGCATAACCTGCTCAACAAAAGGTTGTCCGTGGTTGCCAATGGGGTTTTCACTCCCTACATTCAAAGGAGAATCAAAGCTTATATATTTGAATATATCGTCATCGGGGGATGCAAGGTACTCGTCTAGCATTGCAGCACCAGAAGGGTCTGTCTCAGTGGGAATAGCCTCGTCAAGATCCTTAAAATCATTGGTTTCTGAATATGCTTCTTCAGAACTCATAAGATAACCACAGGTATCAAAATATAGTTCATCAGGATCCTCAAATTCAAAATTGAAACTCAGAGGATTCTCATTATGGTTTGTCTCGCCATTGAATCCATCTTCCACAGAATTGATATTCACATTAAACATATCAGTCATATTATCAGGCTGATCAATCTGATTACCATTAAACAGCTCAGGTCCCATTTGCTTGTGATCACTAATAAATGCTTGGGAATGCTGAGGAGGATGACTGCTAGACTCCCCATAACAGATGTTTGATGCCAAATCAGCACTTCCAACTGTATCACTAGTATCATCAAACTCCTGATAATTGAATACATTTATAAAATTAGAAGAATCAAATATACCAGAAACATCAGCAAAAGCAGATAATATAAAAAAAAATGCTTGAAAAAGAAATCACAAATCAGAGATTAAAGAAAAAGGTAAAACCGAAGATGCCTATAAATCAGCAGCATGAAGCACAGAAACAATATGGGTATCGGATATCCAATACGGAATTACACCACTCATTAAAAAAATATAGTATATGATACATTTAAGATAGTATACAACAAAAACCAAACTCATAATACAACTATTAACACGTTACTAAATATTAAATCTAAACTAAAATATTGTAGTAGTATCAACGTCGTCTCCTCGGGCTGATAAATTTGGTTCATCAAGAGACAATGATGCAACTAGGGGTATACATGGATCGGTTTGGATTCAATTTAGCCAAAACAAGACCCAACCCATATAGGATACCCTGGTTTGGGTGACGTAAAATAACCACCAACAACATCATTGGATCGGTTTGGGTAAAACCGCAAATTTGTGGGTTGGATTGGGTATGGGTTACCCATTTTTTTCCTTTTTCCTTATAAAATTATAAATGATGTTTTTCAAAAAATGTTCTATTTTTTTCTTAAAAATGGTTTAACCTATTGCCGCTATTCTTTCACTATCAAATGTCTAAACATATAATAAAATTTATCATAAAAATACTTGCAAAAACTAAAATTGCAGAACCGTTACAACTTACAAGCATTAGTATCCAAATAATAAAAGTACAACATCCTAGATAAGTTAATATCATGACTCACAAAAAAAATTGTTCAAAAGCCTTAAATTGAAGCGACCAAGTCTAAACATATCAAAATAATCTCTCATCAAATTACAAAAACAAATAATAACCCATAGGCTGGGTCCAGATTTTACCCGAACCCCAACAGGTTTGAGTGATTTTTCATTTTTGAAAAACATGTTCACCCAATAACCTGGCCCAACCCCTTTTTCTGAGTCAGTTTGGGTCAGTTTGATTGAGGTTTTCCAAGTTTACCCAACCTATGTACACCCCTAGATGCAACTTCAAGAGTTCAAACACCATCAAAACATCCTATACATCTCCACCAATGCCCCACATCTTAATACTCTTATGTATTCTTCACTTTTCCTACTCAAAAGCCTCAAATTTGTATGCACAAAATAAACTGAGTCTTCAGAGCTTGAATAGGCACTCCAATTCCTTTCACAACAAGCGAGCTAGGTTGCACTAGAAGCTTCAAACCAAATTTTTAAAGAAGAGGGATGTGACATATCGGAATTCTAACTTTTGGTGTAAAATAAATAATTTGGATACTCCTTCGATACGTATAGCTGCGTATCGGTATGTATCAAGTGCAATTTGCAGAAATTTTAATGTCTGAGCTTCACTGTTTGGCAGAATAGGGACAAAAAATTGTGCAAGAAGAACATATCTGGATTGACCTATATGATAACAAATAAATAAATCTCCACCCCAGGAAAAGTTAATTTAACAAAATAATCAAAGCTACAGCATGAATGAAATTAGTACAACAGCACAAACTTGCATCCAATCTATACCCCAAGCAAAAATCAAAACTATTACTCGAATAAACCATCAAAGCCATTTGAGATACAATACAAACCTTGTCGAGGTCTTTGGCTTCAACAAAATCATCATCAATAGGAGCGGATGCAGATACTTCTTGTTTCAAAGGCTCATTACCAACAATTGGCAAGGGATCTACCTGTTCATCAACATAAGGAGCAAGAGCAAGTGCTGGAACAGCAGCAGGAGCAAGTGCAGGAACAGAAGCAGGAACAAATGCTGGAGCAGGAACAGGAGCAGACACTTCTTGTGTCAAAAGCTCATTAACAGGCAGCACGGGATCCACCATTCTACTGACATGCTCCCATTCCGCCTCTACAAAAGGAGCCCCGTATTTCTCCCCATTCTTAGGCCCCGAACCACTCTTCTCAAATACCCTACACAGCACATAAGTGTCCTTCTCCACCAAAAACAAACACAAATCTCATATCATGTGAAAATCAAACCAAAACCCAATTGAAGAAATGAATTAATTAATTAATAAATAACAATAAAAAAATATTCACTATCCATCACTACTATAATACCTGCAGTCCAGCTCTAGCCAAGGCCTCGTTAACCATCTTGTACTCATGCATAACCCAATTGGTTCTGTCACCATGTGGAGCCCTCCCCGAGTGATAAACAAGGGTCTTCTTCATTCCAACAATGTCATTCTCGTTCTTGACAGTGCGATCCTTCCCAGTAGTCTTCCAGTACCCTCTATCAGTAGCACGATTCAACCTCAAACTATTACCGTATTTCTTGTCCAGCACAGTGAAGAAGTACCATTCCAAATCCCTGGTCTTCAGCTTCGACAAACCTAACAAAATCAAAACAACATCAATCATCAAATTAAACAATAGAAAAAAGAAAAGAAAAAAAAGCTTAAACATAAACAAGAACATGACATACTGGGAAGGTCCCACGGCTCGAACTTATAGATATCGATAACAGCAAGATGATCGAAAGCGGGTGGTAAATTTCCGGTGAGCTTCCGCTTCAGATAGAAGCAAATGATCTCTTCATCGGTAGGGTGGAAACGGAACCCAGGACCGTTGTAGATAGCCATAGAAAAAGATGAGAAACCGAAATTGATAAGAAAATTTGGAATTAGGGTTTTCAGATTTTTGAGATTTTCAGAAATGAAAAGCGAAATAAATTTTTTGTTTTTTTGAATATTCGGTTCTAAGAAACAAAGAAAAATAAATAGTGAAAGAAGGTTCTAGGAGAAACGAAGTGTCTTGGAAGAGACAGAGGGAGGTGGGTTTTTATATCCCTACTGTACTGTGAGATTTACCGTGTCACCCGCGAGTCACGTTACTTGTGTAGAGTGAGAAAAATGGATTCGATCCAACGTGGCAGGATATGATTCGTAGAATGATAACTAAATAGACATAGATGGAAAAAATAAATAATAATAATAATAAATATATAATAATGTGAACAAAGGATGAAGTGAATATCAACCAAATAAAGATGGTGAAGAGAATATAGGCAAGTTAATTGGATTTTTTTTCCTAAACTAAAAATAATTATTAAATGATGTATTCATTGTATTAGGATTAAAAAATTATTAATATATGAAATATTTTAGAAGTTTTATTATTTATTAGGAAGTAGTTAAAATTAACATTTGACCAAGTTTAATATTTAATATAAATAATTTGATCATATTTATCTATTTTTCATACTAGGAATATGTTATAAAGGTATTTGGAAGTTTTATTATTTATTAGGAATTAGTTTAAATCAATATTTGACCAACTTTAATATTTAATATAGTTAATTTGATCATATTTACTATTTTCCATACTATAATATAGGAATATGTTACAAATGTATTTGGTATAGTTTTTTTATTATAAAAAATGTTCATATTGTCATAAAAGAATAAAATAAGAAATATAATATTGTAAAAAAATGTATAATGAAACGTGAATGTATAATGCAGTTAATTCTAGAGATTTTTTTAATGAATGTATTCAATGAATTGAAGAATAAAAAGTTCTTAATATATTAAAAAAATGGAAGATTTATAAGGAATTAGTTAAAATCAATATTTGTCCAAATTTATTGTTTAATATAAATAATTTGACCATATTTAACTATTTTTTATACTATAATATAGGAATATGTTATAAATGTATTTGGACTATTTTTTTTTAACTATGAAAAAGTTCATATTGTAAAAAAGAATAAAATAAGAAATATAATATTGTAAAAAAATTGTTTAGTTGAAATGTGAATATAGAATGCAGATAATTTGATTTTTCTTTCTTAACTAAAGACTTTTTTAATGAATGTATTCAATGAGTTGAAGAATAAAATGTTATTAATGTATGAAAAAATTTGGAAGTTTGATTATTTATAAAGAATTAGTTAAAATCAATATTTGTCCAAGTTTATGTTTAATATAAATAATTTGGTCATATTTAACTATTTTATTATGCTATAATACAGTGATATGTTACAAATGTATTTGGACTATTTTTTATTTATTATAAGTAATGTTTATATTGTCATAAAAAGAATAAAATAAGAAATACAATATTGCAAAGAAATTGTATTGTAAATATGTGAACATATAATGCAGTTAAATTTGATTTTTTTTCTTAACTAAATACTTTTTTAATGAATGAATGGAAGAATAAAAGGTTATTAATATATGAAAAATATTGGAAGTTTTATTATTTATAAGGAATTAGTTAAACTTAATATTTGTCTAAGTTTAATGTTTAATATAAATAATTTGATCATATTTAACTATTTTATTATACTATAATATAGTAATATGTTACAAATATTTGGACTATTGTTTTATTATAAAAATGTTTATATTGACACAAAAGAATAAAATAAAAAATGTAATATTAGAAAAACATTATATCGTGGAAATTTGAATGTATAATGCAGTTAGTTTGGACTCTTTTTTTTTGGACTAAATACTTTTTTAATGAACGTATTTAATAAATTGAAGAATAAAACGATATTAATACAAGAAAAAATTTGAAGTTTTAATATATATAAGAAATTAGTTAAAATTAATATTTATCCAAGTTTAATGTTTAATACAAGTAATTTGATCATATTAAAACATTTTATCATACTATTATATTGAATTATGTGTTAAATGTGTATACACAGTTTTTTATTATAAGGAATAGTTAACATGCACGCACTTATATTTATATATGAAGGTATATTTTAGTAAATTTTCAATTAAAAAATCTTTAAATGCACTTTAAGATGTATGTTAATAAAACAAATCTTTAAAAAATAAGTGGGTGTATTATAGTAAATCTCACATGAATTTGTTATAATACACTTACTTATTTTTATAAAGGTGTGTTTTAATAAATTTTAATTAAAAAATGGTAAAATATACTCTAAAGTGTATGTTATTAAAATAGACTTTTATAAAAACAAATGAGTCTATCTATAATGAAAATGTAAATGTAATGAAAATGTAAATGTATAGTGCATTTAAATGGATTTTTTTTTTAAATTAAAGACTTTTAAATGAATGTATTCAATGTATTGAGAGGGAAAAATTATATATATATATATATATATATATATATATATATATATATATATATATATATATATATATATATATATATATATATATATATATATATATATATATATATATATATATATATATATATATATATATATATATATATATATATATATATATATATATATATATATATATATATATATATATATATATATATATATATATATATATGAAAATATTTAGAAGTTTTGTTTATTTATTAAGAATTAATTAAAATCAATATTTGATCAGTTTAATATTTAATATAAATAATTTGATCATATTTAACTATTTTATCATACTAAATATTGGATTGGGTTATAAATGTATGTACACTCTTTTGATTATACATTCATATTATTGAATTGTGTTATGATGTATAATACAATTTGATTATATTTAACTATTTTATCATACCATATTATTGAATTGCGTTATGATGTATTTACATTGTTTTTTTAATTGTAAATAAAAGTTATACACATTGACATAAAATATAAAATATAATATTGTCATAAAATTGTAAAGTAGAAATATAAATGTATAATACAGTTAATTTGGATTTTTACTGAACTAAAGGCCTTTTTAAATAGATGTATTCAATTTATTGAAGAATAAAAAGTTATTAATATATAAGAAAGTCTAAAAAATTTATTAATTATTAAGAACTAATTGAAAACAAAATCTGTCCAAGTTTAAATATTAACATAAATAATTTGATTATATTTGACTATTTTATCATACCATAGTATTATTGGATGTTTTATAAATGTATTTACACTGTATTTTTAATTATAAAAAATGTTCACATTATAAAAAATAAAATAAAAAATATAATATTGTCATAATATTATAAAATATAAATGTAGACGTAGAATGCAATTAATTTGAACTTTCATTCTATCCTAAAGACTTTTTTTTTTAACGGATTTATTTATTGTATTGAGGGAAAAAAAGTTAGTAATATACAATAAAAAAAACATTAAATTTTTATTTTTTAATTAGAACTAACAAAAAAATAATGTTAGGATAATAATTTTTTAATGAAAATTATTGTATTTCAGCTATAGCGATTTTCGACGAATGCATAGGCGATTTTCCAAGTGGTTATGCAACCACCGACGGAGATACTAAATCGGTTGTGAATCGATCGATTATGGTTTAAACTCCTAATCTTTGGATTGGGGACCAAATTGTATACTCATGGTTATTTTGTAACTTCGCGATGGATCGAGGGAGAGGAAGGCCAAAAAAGAAGGTTGTTTATCCTAAGATTCAACCACTGGTTCAAGAGGAGATACCAGAAACAAACAATCAAGGAAAAGATAATAGAAAAGATAAGGACGAATTATCAGAGAAAAGTATCAAAGAGGAGTTGATTTCAAAAACCTAGTTGAAAAATCCTTCACTTGAAACAAAGGTCATAGCGAATGAAACGAAGGAACTAACTAAGAAACTATGGGTGGATGTTATTAGTGGAAACAAGGTATTGTAAAGGGGGAAGTTGAAGTGGAAATTAAAGGAACAAATGTCGAATTGTAGGTCAAATATTGGGAATCTGCTCTCATCATGTATGTCATAGGACAAGACCTAAGTATGATTGTTGTGAAACACTATATGACCCGATTCTGGATTTTCATACAGCTTCTTGAAATGCTTTATCATGACGGGGGGTCTTTCTTGATGAAGTTCCACTCGTTTAAAGATAGAGACATGATTCTAACTCGTGTTCCTTATACAATTCACGACATGCCAAAGAATGAAGCCCTGACTTTAACTATAAAAGAGACATGTTAAGGACTCTATCTATTTGGGTTAAATTGTCAAATCTCTCTCTCTCTCTCTCTCTCTCTCTCTCTCTCTCTCTCTCTCTCTCTCTTTCTCTCTCTCTCTCTCTATCTATCTATCTATCTATCTATCTCTATCTCTCTCTATCTCTCTCTCTCTCTCTCTCTCTCTCTCTCTCTCTCTCTCTCTCTCTCTCTCTCTCTCTCTCTCTCTCTCTCTCTCTCTCTCTCTATATATATATATATATATATATATATATATATATATATATATATATATATATATATATATATATATATATATATATATATATATATATATATATATATATATATATATATATATATATATATATATATATATATATATATATATATATATATATATATATATATATATATATATATATATATATATATATATATATATATATATATATATATATCTTTCTCTCTAGGGTGCAAAGAGTTTAGGGAAGATTGGAAGTGCACTAGGAAAGCCACTCTTTATAGATGAATGCACTGCCAACAAACTGAGAATATCTTATGCTAAAATCTTTGTAGAAATTGATATAACACAAAATCCAAAAGAGAAAATCACTATAAAGAAAAGCGATAGAACTAAGTTTAGCCAACAAATTGAACTTGAATGAAGGCCTAAATATTATGAACTTTGTCAGCAGGTTGGTCATCAATGAGACATAATTGAGAAGCATC